CAAAACACCCAGCTGAGGTAGCTGAATAAAAACCAGGGGTCATTTACAATTTACAGACTGCAAAGCCACTACGTAGGAGAAACAAGTAGAAGACTAGCAGAACCTATCTATGAACACCAACTAGTAGTTAGAAGACAGCAGCAGTAGTTCACAGCATATGAGAGATCATAGTTTCAAATGGAAAACACTGACCATTCTAGATCAAGGCAAGTCCAAAACTGCTAAAGAGTTCCTGGTAACCTGGCAATCTGACAATTGGCCATCAATAAACACATAGACATAAACAACATCTACATACTGCACAAAAGAGTCAATAAGTCAAAAAAGGAACCAAAAAAACCCCAAAACACCTTCTACCAGCAATCAACACCCAGATGAGCATAGATTAACAAGATTAACATCAGACCAACAATCAAGAAGTAAACAATACCCCAATCAAGGAACTGCCAAACAAGCTAACAGTAGACAGCCCTCCAAGACCATTTGCATCAACAGTGACAGGACAAGCCACTAGAATATAAATAGAGAATAAACCCACTCCTTACTAGCAATGATAATGTTACCTAGTTTGGGTAATGAAACATCTGCAAGAAAACAATCAAGCTCAGAGCACCAAGGCCCCACTCAGTGTTTATCATATGATTTTTAAATGACTTTGCTTCTCTCAATGGCTGTGTTCACATAACAGGCTTGTCCATTGTTAATTGAATCAGGACTTATCTGATTCTTTAAGTTCATATAATACATTGAACAAATGTATTATATGTTCATATATATAACACAAGGGATGGGTTTATATAAGATTAAATATTCTGTAGTTTGTGGTTCACTGTATTGGACAGATTAAACATCTTTAAGAGCATTTTAGAACTTCCTGCTATGATAACTAGTTTTAGCTCTTATAATAACAAAGATAGAAAACAAATGAACTGTATCTCTTTTGAATAGCTGTCCTTTTAAAACCAGTTTTCTCCAGGTTTCAAACCTTCTGCTGATCCATAATGATAGGTGTGTAATCACAGAATTAGGTCAGCTGCTGAGCTAATCCCATGAGTGACTGGAAAAAGCCTCCTGTAGGGACTATTTCCATATGGTGGCATAGCTCACATAATACTTAAGACATACAGTACTGTAATTTGTAATATGTAGCTTCAGATGAATAAACTTAAGTAAAACTAAAAATGCTTCATGTGACATATGCACTATTAATCAAAATGCAATATAAAATCAATCCTTATGTCCCAGGACATGAGCTCTAACACAATGACTTTTTTCCAAGCAATTTATATTCCCTTGTTTTGTGGAAGTCCTAGGCTTAAACTGTGTGACAAACAAATGCACAGTAACATAATCATAGATTTAACCTATAATATTTCTCAAGCAAATCCTCTTGCTAATTCTGGTTAAGAATAAACATCTGTTGTCAGATACCACTTCACATACAACTCGGAAGCTTTTGAGAGGAATGCTGTTGGGCAAAGAGCCAGGAAAAAGCAACACCGGTTCTGCAAGATGGGAAAGTCAGAGCAATACACTTCCATCTACTGACAGAATGTGCCTCCTAGGAATTCTTGGCAAGTAAATTAAAATCCCTGACTTATTCATAGCAGCAACTGAAGAAGCTCTTATTTCTTATCATAAACAACCAAAGCCAGTTGCTGGGCTTTCTTTAGTGTATTTCAGATATGAAGACAATAACTCAGGTAAAAATAATCACTTATAACAATCCGCGTAACAGTTAAATATATGCTTATGAGGAGCATGGCTCACATAGTTAGGATGCTGGGTTGAAAATCAGCAAGCCTGCATTTGAGACCCAAGTGTTGCTATGTGGTGGGTGAGTTGCTGTCATTTGCTCCAGCTCCTGCTGACCTAGCAGTTCAAAAGTGAATAAGCACAAGTAGATAGATAGGTACCACTTCACAGGGCACATTAATGGGGACATGAAAGGAGCCCCTGACTTGGCATCCCCTAGGCAACATAGTATCACCAGCTAATCCTTTCACTCTGGAAGTACCTAGGTACTTCTGACATGAAAGCAGCAGTAATATATGCTGTTTGGTGGAAGAATGATTTCTGTACTTTTTAAATTAGAAGAGAACCCAACTTTATTTAATTTTATGTATTATGCTCTCTTTCATTTTTGCCCAGCCATGTTGCCAAGAAAAAGATCCTTTTGAGTGTATTCTGATATGTGAAAATGAGTTCTCTAAAAGGCTGCATTCTTTAGCTTCGGATTCTCTTCCTTTTATTACACCAATATAGTCTAGGTTCACGTGCCATGTTATGGCTCAAAGTTATTTGCTTTATGATTTAACATGTTATTTGATTTAACATGTTAACATGTTAAACCTTTGTGCCTTAGTCAACAAAACATGATTTAAAGAAATATGTGATAAATAAACTTAATGTGTTCTTGTAGTTCTTGAAGCCCAATTCAAGTATTTTTCAATGTGTAACTCAACATTGTGAAAGGGAATAGGGGTCTGCCAAGTGGCCTCATGTTTGATATATCACACACACCAAAGTTCAAATCCTGGAATAAAAGTGAAATAAATATCCTACTATGAAGATTTTCATCCCTTCTGAATTCCTGCAGCTCATTCGCCTGGATTTTTCACTACTCAGTTTTAGCAGAACATGACTAACTTTTCATTCTCTTACCTCTTTTGACTTTTGAACCATATTTTGTGTTTAGATCAGTAATTTCCAACTTTTTTGAATTTATCTTTAATGTCAGACTGCAGTATGAAATGTGCTCAATTCTTTTTTAAATATACGAGTTCATTCTCATTTGTTCTATCTTTTTGTTTCACTACATTGCCCTATTTCTTTTACAAAATTTCTCACAATAAGTGAATTCTGCTCTGTGACTCAGCTCATACTGAATATGACCCAGGAATGAATCATACTTTTTCCACCCAGCAGTTTTAGACAAATGTGTTAGACAAAGCAAAATTCTCCAGTTAAGAAATAACTTGGTCCATCTTAAAGAGTTTTCCCAGCTGTTTCTAATGTTTGCTATTTTATCTTGTATAAGTCCAGGTTTTCATCTTTTTTCTGACATTTTTTTAAAAATCTATTTCATATTCTGTTTGTGAAATTTTGTAATGAGTATGCCAAATGTATAATTTAGATTAGTCTGCAATATGGCTGTAGAACAACTTGTGATACTGGTATCTACCTTTCTGCTTTGATTAGATAATTGTATACCATCTGGGATAAATTGGTTTTATGGTTGTGTAACTATCTCAGCTGGTACAGTATGATACAGCTTTATTATTCACTCCTTATTTCTGTGCACAGTGGAAAATTGGCAAAAAGAGATTGCCTGAAGAATGAAAAATACTCTAGCAAGCTATTAACTTCAGCAAGTATTAGATCAGGTCCAAAATGAGCACATACTGTAATGTTATTACTAAAATGCTGAAAAGTAACCTTTTGGAATGCTGTATCAAAGTCTATTTCTTGGATGGTACTTCTAGAAGACCAATTGGACTAAAGATCAAAGACACAGAGCAGTATAACCATGGCATTATCAGGACTATGATGACAGAAGTGCATCCCCACAGCTGACCAAAGTTTTTTTTTTCCTATTCAGTGGTAATTCTCCCGAAGCAATGCAGCTAAAAAAGAGCAAAGATAAACAAAGAAATATTGTATATGATCAGACCGAAGACTAAAGTGTTCTTACTGTTATGTTTTTCTTATAACCAAAGACTTTCCCATCCTTCCCATAGCAACTAATATTTTTTTAAAAAAAAGGGTGTTGCACATAAAGGTGTTTTTTTTCTTCAAAAGGCAACTGGACTGTTTTTTCCTTGAGGAAAATGTTTCACTTCTCATTCAAGAAACTTGATCAGTTCTGATGGATCATTGAGACTGGATGGGGGGGGGAAGGGGGATGGAAGGATAGGTTTTGATAGGATGGTGAGGGGGATGGAAGGATTGTATTTCTTTGCAGTCATCTGGTCATTAGCATTCTCTGAAGGCTGTTGAGGCCACTTGGGAGTTTATCTGTCCTCTCAGGTTCACCTGAATCAGGGTGCAGTTGGTTGTGGAATCTTCTTGGAACTCATGCAAGGGCTGCATTGTAAACTGGAGATAAGTGGTTCTGTCCCCTATGTTGAAGGAGGTGTGTTCAATCCTAACATAGATGGTCCTCCCTATCCAAAATGTGGACTTTACTGTCTTCAAAAGAGTGACCTTCTGTCTTAGTGTATTCTTGGGCTTAAAGTGTATGTGTATGTTGTGTTGGTTTTATCCTTGAGGTGGACCAGCTCCTTTCTTAATGTATTTTTGTGCATTATTTAAACCCAAGAATACACAAAGGCACAAGTTTGTCCACCCCAAGGATAAAACACCCAGATGCAAACTGAGCAATGTGATATATGCAATACAATGCAGTGAAAGATATGCAGATCTGTATGTTGGTGAAACAAAACAACCACTTCACAAGCACATGACACAACATAGGAGATTAAACCCATCAGGACAGGTTTCAGCGGTCCGTCTGCATTTGAAAGACGAAGACCACTCTTGAAGGCAGCAAAGTCCAATTCTTAAAAGCAGCTGTGTTTAGTGGAGATCTTTTTCAGCATTGATGAGGCCCAGAACTGATAAATGAAACAACATATTTGACAGCAGAAGGATTGTGCCAGTTTTGAAACCAGCAAGCAGAAAAGCTAATAATATAATTCTTTTTACCATGTATTTCTAGAAAGGAGAGGTGTTTTTTTTTCTTTTTAAATTTGTAGCGTAAAACTGAAGAGGCAGAAGGATGTACTCATTACTGACCAGCAGAAACACCAATTAGAAACAGTACTTGTCTGTTGGCAAGAATGGCAAATTGTTACCGACCATTGATTATGAGTGAAATAAACTCAGTAAAGAAAACCGACCATTGATTATGAGTGAAATAAACTCAGTAAAGAAAACAAGCCCATTCTGATTATTTAAACAATCAGGACAGCTTGCTGAAGTTACATTTTATTTCACAGGACTGACAAGACTGGCCTGGAGTCACCTGGTGAGCTTCAGGGACTGAGGCTTGACTTGGGCCTGAGTCTCCCTAGTTCCTAACCAATGCCATGGTGAATCAGCTGTTACCTCTTTTCAAACCAACAGGTAAAGGTTTTTAGTGATACTGCAATGTAATGGGTTGCATGCGTAATCAAAACCTTATAACTACTTTACAGACGTCTCAGATAGCTAAAGTAGCCTGATGTAGAGCACTTTGCTACTTTTGCAAGTGAGACATAAGAGAGGATATGAAATAAGGCCTCTGGGGGAATGACTAAACCGTGAAAAACCATAAGAAAGAGGCTCAGCAGCAGTACAATGAAGGTATTGGAGCCATAAGTGAAGCATACATTCTTCTCTTCTGCCATCTTCTACAGGAAATGGTTCATACATACATTCAAGATTTTTATGATAGATGTCACCAGGAAAATGGGTCAAGCAAATAAGTTAATAAAGAATTCCTAATGACTGATTATCATGGCAGGAAAAAAAAAGAGTATTCAGTAAATTAAAGTCTTTAATAACGTATCATTTGTAACTATATGGATTTATGGCATAATTAATTCCCCAAAGAAACACATGCTGTATGCTTCATTCGGAACAAATTTTAAATATTTCATTTAATGTTTACTATTACGTTTATTCTTTTAATGCAACTGATAATTTGTAATATGTGAAAATACTAAACCTCTGCTTTCCTTTTTCAGCCTCCTTGACAAGTTAAGGGGAAATGAGGCTTGGAGCACAAGATGTAAATTTTATATGCTGCTGATTGACCAATTTGATTTTTACATGATAAATGAATAGTTCCACTACTAAATGGCTAGCTTAGTGTTATTCATTTGTGCAGCATAAACACAAAAGAAGCAACAGGATTTTTATGTTGTCTTATAGGCATAATGGGTTTTTAGCGGAAAAGAATCATATGGAAATTGATTCACTGTTCATTTTCCTAACGGCAGCTGCAAAAGAAACAACATTAATTATTTTAGTAATGTGAATGATTTGCAAAATATGCTACATATATTTTATGGCCCTATAATGGATCATGATAGCCACTCAGCCTGAAAGCTATTTTTCCCTTTATATGAAAATAGTTAAAACTACAGCATTTATTTATAAATAAATAAATAACATTTCAATTCTGATAAAATTATGCTCCTGGGCTTTGTTGTACAAGTGAAATATAAAATTAATCATGGTGTATAAGGAACTGGCCTTAACCTGATTCTTATTAAGATCTTTGGAAGCTGAAATACTCTAAAAGGTAAAGGTAAAGGTTTTCCTCGCACATATGTGCTAGTCGTTCCTGACTCTAGGGCCGTGATGGCGAACCTATGGCACGCGTGCCACAGGTGGCACGGGAGCCATATTAGTGGGCATGCCAGCTCAGCTCTGGGGCGCATGCGCGCGCGCCGGCCAGCTGATTTTCGGGCCTTCTGGGCCCACCAGAAGTAGGGAAACGGGCTGTTTCCTGCCTCTGGAGGGCCTGGGGGGGTGGGGAAGGCCCGTTTTTCTTTCTTACCTGGCCCCAGATCCTCTCTGTGTATCTGGGAACGGCGAAAACAGCCTTTCCCACTCCCTTGGAGGCCCTACGGAGGCTGAAAGGGCCCATTTCCCCACTCCCGGTGGGACAGGAAGTGACTTTTTTTCCTGTCCCCAGCCTCCAGAGACTCCTAGAGAGGCTCCTACAGACTCCTAGAGACTCCTAGAGAGGTTCTGGAGGCTGGGAACAGCAAAAAATGTCACTTCCTGTCCCACCAGGAGTTGGGAAATGGGCCTTTTCAGCCTCCATAGGGCCTCCAAGGGAGTGGGAAAGGCTGTTTTCGCCGTTCCCAGATACACAGAGAGGATCTGGAACCAGGTAAGAAAGAAAAACGGGCCTACCAGGCCATCATGTGCCAGGAGCGGGGGGGAGGGAGGAGGGGGTTGCGCACACATGCACGTGGGCACGTGTGCGCGCGACCCTCCCCCGCCCCCCTCTCCTGGCACGTGATGGCAAAAAGGTTAGCCATCACTGCTCTAGGGGGTGGTGCTCATCTCTGTTTCAAAGCCAAAGAGCCAGTGCTGTCTCCATGGTCATGTGGCCAGCATGACTAAATGCCAAAGGCGCACTGTTACCTTCCCACCAAAGATGGTCCCTATTTTTCTACTTGCATTTTTTACGTGCTTTCGAACTGCTAGGTTGGCAGAAGCTGGGACAAGTAATGGGAGCTCACCCCGTTTCACGGCACTAGGGATTCGAACCGCTGAACTGTCAACCTTTCGATCAACAAGCTCAGCATCTTAGCCTCTGAGCCACAACGTCCCTTTAATGCTTTATATATATATCGAGGCACCTGGTTCTAGCCCAGCATGTGGGAGGGAGCATACTGCATCCCTTTCGCCTTTCAGCTCCAATCCAGGAGCCCTCAAGCAGTCGCATTCACAACAAACCGTTTTATACCAAATTTATATTTCACTGATAAAGAAATAAAGGGAGACTAGTATAGATCTATTTCAAGCTATATAGCTCTCATCAGCTAGCCATATATATATTATATTTTTGAAATACTTTACAAGAGATCATACATGAGAAACATGATACATCAATAAAAGACTTTAGAAACATTTCGAACCCATTTGACTGATTTTACCTTACCAATTCAATTCAATTCAAATCTTCATTGTCAGTGCACAACATATGTACAATGAGATTGGTTGAGCTCCCTCAGTGCTCCCTCCACAACACAATACAACTCACAATACATACCTTAGCCAATATGATATGTAAATCATAGTTTTTATCATGTTTTTCCCTTTTTGGGCTTCTCTTTTTATTTTATTATATTTGTATTGCTATTACAGGCATATCACGAAGATATTGTGTGTTTAGTTTCAATAAAGCAAATTGCAATAAAGTGAACGACACATTTTTCTTTAGTTCTAAGTGCATATAAATGTTATTCTTACACTATAGACTATGAAATGTGTGATAGTATTGTGCTTAAAATGTACATACATTAATTAAAAATACTTTATTGCTAAGAATGGGAATCATCATCTGAGCGTTCACCGAGTCATAATCTTTTTGCTGATAGAGGATCTTGTGAAAAATTAAAGTGATATGTGTGAAGCACAACAAAGGAAATAGAATAAAATGAAGGATGCATACATATTTGCAGACAGAGAGAAAGAGTTTACAGGTTTTTATAGCTAAACTGGGTACTTGGTTTAATCAATAAACCATGATTAAAAATGAATTGCTTGTTTCTCTTACAGTTTCATATAACAAGTATCTTCTTTTAACAACCCTGTAACCCCTTGCATTGGGACAGAATCAGGGTGACTGAGTGGAGCTGAGCATTTGCTGCCAGATGCCCTTCCTGACACCTATGCAGAGTTCACAGCAGACAATTACTCATTGCACCCAGAGAAATATCTGCCACTACCTAAAATTGAACTCACAGCCTCCTGATTGTGAGGAAAGAGCTCCACCTCTAGGCCACTGTGCTGCTCGCACAACAAGCATCATTAATGCCAACCAAACAGTGCTGAACATCTCAAGAAGAGCAACAGTACAGTGTGTAGGATTCATCTTTAATATGGGAAGGAGAAATGATGCTGCCCAAGTCCCATATAGTAAGTAGTTGTGACTTACCAGGTTTAAAGCAGCAGTAAATCAATCAGGCCTATCTCAACATCATAAATTCAGTCCACATTTCAGGCACACCTATCAGGTTCACCAGACAGAATAAATTTGAAGGAGGAGCAAGTGAAAATAAATGAGGGAAATGGTATCTAGGAATTCTAAGGCAGGAATCAGTAAGGTTTTCACAGAACACCATTGCTGATTCCAGGTTGTTTTCTAAATAATTGCTTCTTCTGCCTGATCACAGCTGGCTCAGGCCTGGGTCCCATCAGCAACTTACTGCAATGGAGCCTTGCTAGGTTTGCTTGAAGACTTACGATTCCTATGCCACCTTTTGATGCCTTCTCTTCAGTGATGGCAGTCTTGAGGACTGGGAAGAGAAGATAGTGGTTCCTGGCTTGGGTCAATTTCCATTGAGTCCAGAGCCAGAACAGTGAAGCTAATTGCTGATTCAACATTTGCATGACCTCAATTTTCACATTGAACAGAGTGGCAGGTGTTCCTACTCCCCAAATAGCACATTCTGTGTCTATTGTTTTTCAGAAGCCCTACCGAGAAGCTTCCTAGGATAAAGCACCAATTAGAAATTCCTTTGGAGGGAGAACTCAAAGGCTGCTTTTCCTCACACAGAAAAATGCACGGAACAAGAAAAAGCTGGATTGTCACCAAAGGAGGCAAAATGTCTGCTGTAAATAAACTAAGAGCCTTATTACTAAATCTGTATTTTAGTAACTGGACCCTGAAACAAAAAGATGGAAATACAGTTTTGTTTCCTTGTAAAATGAAATAAAGATGTTTTGTTTGTGGGCAACAAATTGGCCTCACCTTTTTTTTTTTTTTTTTTTGCTAAAAGCATTAACATCTATAATATCTAAATATTTAAACCAATGGGCAATTATCCCAATGTTACTTAAGTGTATGCAGCTGGCATTTTACAAAGTCTTGGATGACATGCCACAGAATGATAATGCAGGGCTTATATTTGAGTCCTGTTTCCACTAAGAAAAAAATAATTGAAACGTCAATAAAAATGCACAAATATATGGCTTTGAATATACTGTACATCTCAATTTACATGATGAAAAGGAGTTTGGGATGAATGCTACATAAAAAATTGGAACTTAAGTCTTCTTCAGCACCAAAACAATTTTCAATTTTGGGAATAATTCTAATGGAAAGAAAACTAGAAATAATATAAAAATAGCCACAAATATATAGTAGAAACCACCTAGTTCTTGAGGAATTTTTTTTAAAATACTTGAGTTGATTTTGATTCCCTTGACTGCATGAATTACAACAATATGAAGATATTTTGCCATTTAATTTTTTAAATTTCACTGTCTCATCTAAAATACTAAAAAGCATAAAAAGCACAAAACAGTCTTCTATAATAGGCAATTAATCATAACAAACATAAGTTATTGGAAAAAATGCAAAGAATTTACTGCTTTGAGTTAATGCTGCTAATGCTGATACTATATCAAAATGGTGGGAAAGTTAAGCAAATAATATTTTTTGTTCCTTTCCTTGGCATTGTATCATTCCCTCCCTGTTTTCCAGCTTTTCTCATAATGATACAATGCTAACTTTTCTGTAGGACCGGTTATACTGTGGATGTCCTTGTGCACCACTACAATGTTATAGAATTCAACTGGCATGCAAAGATCTTTCTTGGCTCCCTGCTTTCTCTGACCTTTAACCAGATAATGTTACATTTTAAAAGTGGAATACTGGCATGCTTTAAAACAAAATGCCAGCTTTCTGCATCATTAAAGCACTCTTCTAAGGGGGGGGGGATGATAGGTATCTATTCTAGTACTACCTTTGGAAGAGTATAGCCCTCCCTCCCCTCCCCCTAAAAAAACACCCAAAAACAAAACAATAAAAAATAGGAGGCAATGTCTTTTTGGTAACTGAACCATAAACTCTCAATCAAGATTAACCCATTATGTGGTATAAATGCATCCCAGGTTGTTTGGATGCATACTCATGGAAAGCTATGCAACTGATTTAAGTAAAATATGATTATAGAAAAATATCATATGGTAGTAATAAAGCTAAAGTTAAAAGAATGCTGAAAGTAGGATGAAATATTCTGAAGAACATGGAAATGTTGGTAGGATTGTGATTGGTTATAACCATTGCAGGAGATATTTCCAAATTCCAGCTGCTCAGAGGTCCATATGACAGGTTTTCCCAGCATGGAAATATAAGAAAAACTTAATGTTATATATCTATCTCTCATTTAAGTTGTTGAAAATAGGCTAGAATTGAAGTTGAAGCTCTGAACAATTTAGTAGTTTTTTCTATACTAAGATCGCATCGCATATTGTAATTAACAGAAAGGCAAATAATACAGATATAGACTTCAGATTGTTCAGAAGACATTTTATACATCTCAAAATTGCCCAATATATTTATTTCAGTGCAAATTCTGGTTCTCAGTTTATAAGTTTAAAAATATACTCATCCCAAGGAGGGTTTCTCTGCAATAAGGTCTCCCAATAAGGTCTACAACGCTAGATAGAAAGATAATGTAAACTTATTGGGAGACCGAGCTCCCACTTCTGAAGATCACGGAAGCTAAAATTAGCTTCCCAGTAATCTTCATAAAGGAAAACGAAGATCGAAAACCAAGAGGAAGGATTATTCTCCTCTCACCCCTTCAAGAATTGTATAGGGTAATGTAATTGACTTGTTTTGAGGTGAGACCAAAACTAAAAAAAGGAAACTTTCAGTGGTATCTGTACATACGGTATGCTAGTGAAAAACAGATGACTTATCTGAGAGTCCAAACCAAGGCGGGTGCTCGTTCAATTAAGTCTTATCACCCACATATCTGAAAATGGCAAAGGGGTCGAAAGGAAGACAATTTGGAGGAAGAGTGGATCCGATTACAGTTAGTACGGGTGACCAAGGGATCTGCAGCAGAGGTCTTCAAACTCGGCCGCTTTAAGACTTGTTGGACTTCAACTCCCAGAATTCTGCAGCATAATCATAGCTGGCTGGAGAATTCTGGGAGTTGAAGTCCACAAGTCTTAAAGCGGCCAAGTTTGGGGACCCCTGTTCTGCAGAAAGTAAAGCAGATGCCCTTAAGCCTGAGGGGCTCACCGCCCGCTTGCAACGGAAAATCATTATTTGCACATCTCTATCTGCGAAGATGAGACGGTCTTTAATAGAGCGCAATGACGGGAAGCTCACTTGCGCTGACTAATCTTTTTGTTTAAATCCTCCCCTCCCCACCCCATTAGCCGTTTGGGACCATCTGTTTTCGGGATGGATCTGCAGCTCCTTTTGTTCACTTTCATTAACTGTACGGGGGGAGTCCGGTTGCTAATTCGCATGTAAGCTGAGGACACCCACAGCTGTTCAAAACTGAAACTTATCCCTCCCTGAGGGGAGACCGAATCACACCTGCTGCTTTCAGGGCGCAGGGCTCCTTTCTTGAACTTTCCCGCCGCGCCAGTGAGGGTCGCTGTGGGCCCTTTTCCTTCGTTCCGAAAACGGCGACCGAGAGACGGAAGTGAAGCCACATAGGCTGGAGGCAAACGCTGCCCTTTTTTTCCCCTCGGCGGCTGGTTCTTGAGTTCCGGCATGCCCTCTCCTTACGCCTCCCGGTTGCTAAGCGGCGGCTGAATTGAAAAAGAGTCGGAGGCGCGAAAGAGCTCCGGGCCGGCGGGACTGGGAGGAGAAATACCTGCCTCCTGGCGTGGCTCTTCGGCGTCCGATTATAGGAAAGCGGCTTTGGACGTTAAAAGCTGTGCTTGCATCTTCTGGAGAAGCCCCCTTTTTTCTTTTTTTGGCTCGGTAGCCGCTGCGCCGTATGAAAATGGGCGCTAAGTCTGACCAGCTTCTCATTGTGGTCTCTATCTTGGAAGGTAACGTTTAAAGCAGCTCTCTCGGAGTATTATCGATTCACTCAGCGCGTGTATCTGGAGAGGAAATGGTGGGAAAGCAATCATCGCATCCCTTCTCCTGCCTGTGAATACTGCCCAAAATAAATCAACCTGGCCGCTTCCAGATGTTGAATTCTTAGAGGCTCCTGCGGTTGGAGAAGACTTTCGAAGGCGATGGGGTGGACCATTTTGGGTTTGGGTAGCTAACGTTCAGGCATCAAATCTGTCCCTAAGGGTAGTGGCACAGATGGCAAAATCTTATGGGTACCTCATCTGAATAAGCCAACAATATTCTAAAATATTATTTCATCAGCTTGGTGCTGTCCTGAAATGTGTGTTATGTGAGGTAATGAGAGGGAACACTGTGAGGAAATCTTTATTTTACCCATAGTCATTACAGGGTTGGGCACTCTTGTATATTTAATAAAATAATAAATAATTTCCTACATAGCACCTATAGGCAACAATCTTTCCCTTTTTCATATTTGATTAGGAATTTATTAAATAGTTTCCAGTGGTTAAAATTGTCCCCACATTTTCCCGTTAATGGCAGATATCTGGTTAGTGGATTTCTGGCCAAAAAAACATTGTACTATAAACATAAAGGCAGGCTGTACTGGAAAACACAATAAGGAAGGAAAAATACATATAGTGTTGTTTTTAGACTATTAAGTCTATAATAGCAGTTGTTACACATTGTTCACACTATAATTCAGACTTTCCTACTTCAGAGGTGATCTAATTGATGTCTCCAATTTATGGGAGATTATATTGGAACAGACAATCAAATCAATACATTGATTCTTGTCACTCTACAAATTGGTAAATAAGCATGGTCTGAAGTCACATTACTTAAACTTTTAGGCAAATATGGATTTGTCCATTTTTAGTTTAGTTACTACATTAGAGTTAAGCATGAGGAATTCTTGTTACATTATGGGTTTCCACAATAAACTCATGCTTCACATGGTAGTTTTTGTAGTGACAAATGCTTTACAAATTACTTTTTGGTTATATATTACTCAAATTTTGTTGGTGAGTTGATCTATAGTGCATTTATTTACCCATACAGTAGAGCTGGGTCTGACTTTACATTGCAGTGGTACTTAAAGTAGTCCTAAATATACATAAGATTTCTGCCGCAATATGTTTATGTGATCATATAATTTCAGAATTTCATAGATTATAAAACTTGTTTTGGCAGGTGGTTTGGATTTTTGCTCGAGGGAATGCTGGAAGAATCTGTATGATATGTTTTTGTACTTGTACTCTACAGAGCTGATGGATAGAATAGCTGTAGCAAAAGAGAATTCCTCTCCCCTCTGCTTCATAGATTATCTGCTTGATTTGTGTGCAGCCTGAAGATGTGCTGCCTTGCTTCCTAGCTTCAGTTGGCAGCTAATAAAACAGGAGAAAATTTTTAACCATTTTCTTGATTGACATATTGGAAGCCCCATACCAAATAGATAGAATACCATGTTGGTCAGTTTTATAGTTCTATTGTTGTCCTAGAGCCGTGATGGCGAACCTATGGCATGCATGCCAGAGGTGGCACACAGAGCCCTCTCTGATGGCACGCAAGCCATCACCCCAGTTCAGGTCCGCTGCGCATGCATGCATGCCTCCAGCTGGCCTTCAGGTCTCTGCCATGCAGGCACAGGGGGCGTTGCGGATGTGGGGGGGGGGCACATGCACATGCATGAGGGCAGGGCATGTGCGGGGGGCAGGGCACATGCGGGGGGGCCTCACATGCATTGCATTTTGAGGGTTTGGGTGTGCGCGCTTTGTGCACTCGGGCGAGAAAAGGTTAGCCATCACTGTCCTAGAGTGTGTTATCAGGCAAGACTTAAGACTTATATTCCAGAGTAAGCAAAAATAGACTGATGCTTTTCTCCTGCAGGAACCTTTAAGAGACTATA